TTTTTTGGGTTGGGGAAATCAGGTCCGAATTGAGTTCTTTTGGCTTATTTCATTTCAAAACTAGTCCCACATGACATTTTTTGTGTCAATAGAATTTATAAAATATTAATAGTACCGTAATTTTAAAAAAATGATTAAAAGTATGACTTTTTTTTAATTTTCCAGTTTGGAATGTCACGTCGTGTACATGTGGCGGGACTATTTATGATTTTTTAGATTTCTTTGGGGACCAAAAATGTCACCTCCCAAAATCTGTGAGACTATTTTTAATTTATTTCGTTGCCACTGTACTCAGCCACGTCAGATAAATGTGGTCACGTATGTGCAACGTGGCATTCCGAGCTGAAAAATTAAAAAAGTCCTACTTTTAATTATTTTTTAAAAATTACGGGACTATTAATATTTTTTGAATTCTGTTAGGACCAAAAATGTCACCTCTCTATACTTGTGGGACTAGTTTTGAATTTTTTCTCATCATCGTCTTCACAGTAAGCGAAGGAAAAAAAGATTAGTTCAAAGCAAGATTCTTTTTTATTGTTTTAATTTAATGGTGATTTTACCGACATATTTCCATGGTTTCAAGTTATTCCACGCATTCAGTAAATGTTGTTCCAACATATACATCTAACTACATCACTCTTAAAAATTTCTAATTCAAAATTGAAAACAAGAGTGATATTTTGGGCAAAAAAAAAAATTCGATAGAGTCGTCCATTAGGCTATGTTTGTTAAAATTAGCTGATAAACTAACTTATAGCTTATTAGTATATTTTTTAACTTATATCTTATAATTTATAGTTAAAAAACTAGCTTGTATAATAAAAGTGTTTGATTAATTAGCTAATAAGCTAGCTGAAATAAAAAATTCAACTAACTTATTTAAAAAACTACCTGAAAAAGCTTATCAAATAAACTCGAGCTTTTTTAAAAAGAACTCGTCACACCCTATATGGTCGCCCGGCTCGAATTGCACAGGGCATTCCACTAATACAATCAACTAATTACTATAAGCTAAACAAAGTCATTATAAATAAAATATTTTATATTTTATAATTTGATATTTTTTTTTCAGTTACTATAGTAATTTTAGATGTAAATTTCGTCTAAGTGAACCTAACTATTTTACATTAGTTTGACGATTAATATAGTCCAAAACCATTTCCATGGTATGGTAGTTCAAATTCAAAAGAGTACTAAAAGAAGACGTGCTTTGACCATTTCCTTTGAAGGATGTGTGGAATCACGTAGACCGATTTGTTTTGATGCCTAATTGCACTAAATTAATTATTTCAAACATATCGGGTATTAATTAAATTAAATACGCACTGTTCATATTATATTAGGAAATAAAAAATATCAACATGTGTGTGGATTTACATCAAATTGATTTAAATTTTAATGTCGAATTCTATAGCAATGGAGTATGCATTTAGTGGCGGTGAGAAAAAAAAAAATACTACTACCTCCTATTTTTAATATATGTCGTTTTGAGAAGCTACACGTTATTTAAAGAATATTTTTTTTTTGTCAATTATAACCTTATTTAATGAAGATAGAGATGAATGTTTTGAGAAAAATGTGAGGAGTGAATATGAAAAGACGTAATGTATTTTATTAGCTGAATGAGGGTATTAATGAAAAAATATGTAGGAAAAATCCAAAATGACATTTATTTGACAAATCTATATCTATATAATGGACCAATCCTTATTGCCATAATTGGCCTAATTTTAGGCGGGAAATTTTTTTCGTCTATATTTGCCATTTGTTTAATATTTATTTATTACCAACTCTTATGCATGAAAAACATAATTAATTTTTATACATTCAATGACAATTACTCCTTGAATATCAAATTGGCTTAAATTTAAATTTTGACCATAGAATTATTAGATATATTTTCAATAAGATGTTATATTTTAATAGTAATTTATTAACAAAATTCAAAAAATTATTATGGAAATTGATTTGATTAAATATATCATCATCTATGGTTGAATGGATTAATTTAATTAATTATATTTACTATTCATAAGTACTTAAAATATTTGATAAAATAATATTCTTTAACTATGTTTAAATCATACTAATTTAATAAATAATTTAAAATATTAATAAAAGCTTCTGAAATGTAGTCAATTTAACTATAAATGTACTAGTCAACGCCCGTGTATTACACGGGCGCTTGCTAATTTTTTTCTTAAAATCTAAAATTAATGAGAAAAAATAGGTGAAAATTTAAATATCTTTTATAAAAATATATATATTATTATAATTTAGTATGACACTTTTTATTTGTGTGGCTTACTTGTGTTATATTATAATAATTTTGTTTAACTTACAACATATAACTACATTAAACATAAATATATCAACTAAGAAATAATTTTATTTTTCTAATAAATTTTAATAAATATTATTATTTTTATTATTATAAAGATGAATATAATTTATTTATTTTAT